AGGTCCTATCCATTTCTTTACCGCACTTACCACTATTTGCATATGAGCACACACAATACATGTGTGTATATCTGTATGCACATACGTTTATATATGTGTATATTTACATCTTTTCCTCAAGGGCAAGGACCTGAAGTGCCATGTTCACTCTTGTACACCCAGAGTCTAGCACATACTAGGTCCTCAGTTTATTTTTGATAAATGTATATACAGCACTGTGTTGGCTAAGCTCCCCACACTAAGTAAACCAGGATTGATTACCAGTATTTATTTGTTTGTCTGTTTGTTTTAGACAGAGAGAGGGAGAGAGAAACATCCGTGTGCCGTCCCACTTATCCATGCATTCACCGGTTGGTTCTTGTCCGTGCCCTGACCAGGGATCGAACCTGCAACCGTGGCCTATCGGAACGATGCTCTAACCCACTGAGCTATCTGGCCAGGGCAGATTATCAGTATTTTTTTTTTTAAGTGTGTTTGAGGAGGAAGGGGTTTGTGTTTGTTAATGTGGCTTGATTACTCCCCAGTGGAATCCAGGTCCTCGAAAATGGTGTCTTATTTTTGAGGTCAGAATTATCAGTGCTGAGATGAAAGAAGAGCTCTTTTCAAAGGAATGTTTTTCTGCTCCAGACTTTTATACACGATAAGATGTGCAAAGAATGTGTGGCCTGGGTATCTTCTTTTCCTAGAGGAGCATTAAATTTTTCAGGCTGTCATGATGATTCATGTGAATGATGATTTTAGTTAAGAACTCGGGTTCTTTGGCCAACTAGAAAAAATATATACCAAAAGTCTACATTACTGTTTTGTTATCGTTGACATGCCTGCCTTGTTCAAAGACTTAAAAGAAACCCAAAATGCTGTCAATCTGGAATTTTCTCCTAATGAATTTATAACTCATTCCAAACACATTGTTTTTTCACTAGACAATTGGTTTCTAGAATATTGAATGCTTTGTTTCCAAGTTGGCTTGGGTATATCGAACAGAAATGAAAAAGAAATTAAAATGAGAAATATCTACTTTGCTTTAAATTCAGCTGGTCATTTGTCATAAATATTTGAAACAGGGGAAATAACTATGGAATGCATAATGTTGTTTCTCTAAAACCACTAAAATTTTGAAAAACAAAGCTGTTGCACGCAAATATCAAAGCCTAGCACAGTAACGCAGCAGTTAATGAATTTCCTGGGAATCAACTCTCATGTGCTCCCTGGGTGTAGACCGCAGTGGTGAGCACCTTCCCATGCATAGGGAGGCCCCCTGATACCAACTGGTGAAGGAGCCCAACAAGTCATGAGGAGGGGGTAGACCAATGGTTCTTAACCTTGGAGAACACATGAAATCCCCTAGAACTGGGTAAAGAACTATGGAAAGTTTCCTTCAAAAAATACATCGTCATAAAACTTCGTCTGCAATTCCAGGGGCTCCGTAGGCCTCTGAGGGGCATCAAAGATCTCAGGTGAAAGGCCCTGAGGCAGAGAGACAGGCCTGTGAAGGGAGAGGAAAGTATGGTCACTGGGTCCTGCCCAACAAAATTATAGGAATCGGGGCATTTTGAAGGATAATAAAAACTCGGGGTAAAGTGGGAAAAGACAGAGTTAAAAGAGAAAGAATGAACAAGGCTGACAGTGGAAAAAAAAAATGTGGGAAGAGTAGAAAACTAAAGAGAAAAAGGGAAAAATAAGAGTAGGCAGAGGAGTTAAGAAAGACGGAGGGAAAGATCAATCATCGGCTTACATTGATGTTGACCGCCAGCATTTACTAAGTGTCGCTCCTGTGCTAAAGAACTGAGAAGCATTTTTCGTGTACTTACTTAAAGTTTCTATACCTTAAACGTATAAGACCTATCTTACACATTTCGCAGCTCAAGAAACTGAGGCACGGATAGACAAAGTCCAGGGTTCGATAGACTAGGATGTGACAGAGCTAGGACCTAACCAGATACCGGCCGTTTGACCCCAAAGCCAGCCTCTGAGTCTTTGCAGCGAAACCACCTCCACAACCTGCCTGTCTGACTCGGAGACACGGCTCGCAACCTCTCATATTTGAACTGGCCCTGAAGACCATTTTCTAACAACGAATGCAACCCCAGGATGCATTATCTTTCTTCACAGACACGGTCCCAGAGTCTAACTTCTTCTCCTCAGGATCTGAAGTGGTCATGACTACTTTTCGAGCTTCATTGAGATGTAATTGACAAACGACATCGCTTGTTATGATGGTCATTTCAACTGCAAGGGCGCTTTTCGGTATGTTTTCAATTTCTGGAAATTCCACAATTCCACATGTCAAAATACTTCATGTGCTTTCAAAGAATATCAAAAATGTGCTAGGACTAGGACCTGAAACAGTCAGTCCTCTGATGCTGGCTGGGCTCATGCATGGATAGACTTCGTTGCGTAACTTCCCGGAATGATACGCTTGTCAGACCGGCTGCCAGCTGTCTCACTTTCCCTATTTTTAACAGTACTGTTTTGTTAAAGCTGCCTTCCCAAATCACGAATAGTTTTTTAGCTACATTGATCTTGAAAGGTTTATGTTATACAGACTTGGTCTACTGCAGCTCAGTGTGGTTTTGATTTAGAGGGCATTTTTGGTATGACTACCAGGTTTACAAATAACCTCATTCTTCTCCCAGTTTCAGTAATTGGTATTTTTCACATGGTTGCTAAGCAAAAAACAGAACGTCCGCTTCAAAGCTGAGGTGCCGCCTGACAATGTGTTTCTCTTTTATAAGTGAGCGGCTGAAGTCATCTTGGCACAGGTGTGGCACATAATATATAGAACAGATGCCTGAATTTTAAAATGCATTAATTTGATCTTATAAAAATACAAATTAATGACATGATTTTAGTCACAGAACTAGAGAAAGCATCCAGAGAAAACAATATTAGTACGAGGTACTGAAAGTACCATCATTTTGTTAACACACAGTACATATGCATTCCCTATTCAGGATTAAATATGGAATACATAGAGTTAACACCTTTAAAAGCAGAAAATGTACAAAAGAAGCATTCCAAAAATGTGACCTTCTGCCTTCTTTGTGATTGGTATCATACCAGGATTTGACGGTAGCGGGCGGAGGGACAAACATGTACTCCAAAATATAGTTCATAGGAAGTTAGCATAAAAACACTATTTAAATATTCTTATCATCCCATCCATATGTTTAGGACAATGTTTCAGTGAGTGTTTGCAGTTCTGATATAAGTATTTCTGCATCAGTTGAAGGCAATTAAAATCAGTGGGGGGGTGTATATGTATATTACATTCATATACATGTAATATTCATTACAAAGCTAGGATATGCATGTATGTATATATATACACACACATATATATGAGCATTTTTCATATTATTTATATTTATTTTTTTACACATCTATTTCCCCCATTAGAAGTGCGCAAGGTAAGTGCTGTGTCTTGTTCTGGGCTCAGTACCAGACACAACGAGGTGCTCATAAGAGCTTGCTAAATGAAGCAAGACAACGTCTCTGTGTATAAAAACGCTGTAACAGAGGACACCTCTAATTCTAAATAACTGAAATTCATCTAATCTTGGTTGTTTTTCTTAATATAATTCATCTATACATAAAGAATATCAACCTATTGCCATTCTATAAACATAGTATAAAAATAGGAGGTCTAAATTTTTATGGGGGAAAAAAAGAGATGCCAGTACTTCTAACTACATTTTTTTACCCTTTTTTTTGCGATTTACTCTCTCTTGTTTTTAAAATTGCGTCCTTTTTAGCTATTTTAACAGCTGCTAATTCGAGCACGTGTTGACTACACTGGAGCCAGTGTAATCATTTCCTATGCATTTTTCATTTAATGCTCACAATCACCCCCTAAGTTTACATTACGCTGCCTCACCATCAGCCGCACAACGAAAGAAACAAACAGGTAACTAGAATATAAATGGAAACAGAACAACGTAAAACAAGAGCTAATGGAGACAGCATGTCAAATCAGCGGTGAAAAGATTAATTAGTCAACGTTAACATTGGACTAACTGGTAATCCATTTGGAAGAAGAAATTATAATTCGATCCTGAAATAACCCCATAAAAATCTCAGATGAATGAAAATTTAAAATGTCAAAAATAAGACAAGAGACAAAAAGGACTACAAAAAATATTTTTATGAACTTAGCTTGTGACATAAAAGCCAGAAACATTTTTTTTTAAAAGATATTGACAGAGTCGGCTGGTCTCAAGTTCAAAATTCTACGTGGCTCCTTCCTCCCTCCGTTTTTTAATCATCCAATGGACCAACGCGCGCTAACTGCCTTGGAGGGCCCTTCCTCCCCCCCTTCTTTCTCGCCCTCCCTTTTCCCCTGGGCTGGGCAGGGGCTGCTGGGGACAGCGCTGTCAGCACGGACTGGGGCACAAGTGTGGTCAGCTGTAGCCAGAAGGTGTGTTGTATGTAGGGGAATGGAGCAAATAAGTAAATGTATCGAGGTTAATGGGAGGCAGTTTCCTCACATGGAAAAAGAAAACTTAGAGGGGAAAAAAACCCTATGATACTGGATTACAATTAAAGGTAAAGGTATGAACTTACAGTTATTTATAAAAACAGATCTAGAAATAAACAGATATGTATGATATACAGATATAAATATATATCTATACACACATACATATATACACATACATGCATATATATCTATGCATAGCATAAATACCTAGATTTCTGCTATATCTCTATGTATCTTTATCTACATATCCTTAGGTAAAGATATAGATAAAACTATATATAGGAATAGATATATATGTGTTTATACACACACATACACACACTTATATATAATTTCCCAGCTCTGTCCACTGATAGGACCTAAAAGCAATGAGCACACCTAGTATCTAGGTCTTTGTTTCCAGATACCATTCTCCACTACAAAAAAGCAGAGCCAATCGCCTTCATGCTAAATAGCATGGGGGCTGAACCTGGGATAATTTGAGCATCAAAATATAAAAGGATAATACAGTCTTACTTACGTGAGAAGCATAATGTGAGATGTCTGCATACCTAGACAAAGAATGAAAGAATATCCTTATTAGCGGTTATGTTGTGATGAAAGCAGAAGAGAAATACAGTGGAAACCATTTTGATGGCATTGTTTATTTTTTTAAAAAGATCATTCTTCTATATAGCAAATATATAGTAGCTTCATTACAAAGCTAGGATATTGTTAAGCTGTACAAATTCCATAACAGAGGCTATATAACAACATAGAAAATTGGTTACAGCGGTTTAATTTTTTTTTTAATGTTTTCATTAAGAATCTGGCTATGCCCCAACATGGGTGCATGCGGACAAGGACCGAATGTCCCGCTGTCAACATAAGTCAACAGTGTGAACACAGAGCTCGTCTCCATTCACCACAAATCTCCTCGTCCCATAGCTCAGCGCTGGTCACAGGCCGTACTCTTTCCTGGAACCGTGAGCCTTCGCCTCCTCTTTACTCCCTATCCCATTCATGCTCTCTCCCCTCCAGTTTATTTTGTCTCTAAAACGCCGCCAAATGTATCCGCTTCCCTGCTCTCTCCACAGGGGTGGCTGCTGTCCTTCTTCAGGTCATTATCAACCCAACGCCTGTCCTTTGACTCTGCGGGGGGCAACCTCTACGCTGTCGCCAGCGGTGTCTCCCTGCTCACACACGCACACACACAAATCATACTCCATGTGCCCCAAAATGAGCTCAGAATGGATTACAGGTATAAAAGTAAAGGCTAAAAACTGTAAAATTTCTGAAAGAAAATCTAGGAGGAAATCTTTAAGACGTTAGGCTGGGCAAAGATTTCTTAGACAAGATACAAAAAGCACAGGCCGTGTAAGAATGATGGATAAACTAAACATCAAAATTAAAACGTATGCCTTCCAAAACCACCATCAAGAAAATGAACAGGATGCATTGGCCGGGTGGCTCAGCTGGTTGGAGCACATCCCAGGTTCAGTCCCCAGTCAGGGCACATACCTGGGTTGCAAGGCCGTTCCCTGGTCAGAGTGCATATGAGAGGCAAACAAACAAACAATGCATCTCTCTCACGTGGATGTTTCTCCCTCTCCCCCTCCCTTCCTCTCTCTCTAAGATCAAGGAACATATCCTTGGGTAAGAATTTAAAAAAAGAAAGAAAGAAAATGAAAAGGCAAGCCATAGTCTGGAGAAAATAGTCACAGTACATATATCCACTGAAAGACTTGTATCCAGAACATACAGAGAACTCAATAACAAGAAGATAGCCCGAATTTAAAAATGGGCAAACGATTTGAATCGGCATTTCACAAACGAGGCTGTATGTATGGAAAATAGGCACATGAAGAGACACAATTCAAACCAAATGAGATGACACCGCACATCCCCAGAGTGGCTCAACTTAACCAGACAGGGGGCGCCGAGTGCAGCTGGGGGCGGGGGCGCCGGGAACGTTCACCCACTGCTGGAGCGAATGTGGGGCTGCACAGCTCTCAGCGCTGTCTACGAGTTTCTCACGAAGTTAGACATAAACTTACCCTGTGATCCTGCATGTCTGCTCCTGCACATTAACCGAGGGGCTGTGAAGACATTGCTACACAAAGACTGGCCCACAAATGTTCATAGGCACTTTCTTCATAATAACCAAAAAAGCCAGAAGCAACCCAAATGTCCATCAAGAGAAAACGGATAAATGCGTTGTGGTCTATGCGCACAGTGGACTATAACTCAACAATCGAAAGGAACAAACTACTCGTACATGCGACCCGGATGAATCTCAGCACCGCGACGCTGAGCAAGAGAAGCCGGGCGCCAAAGAGGACACCCTGTGCAATGCCGCTGGCACTGAATTCAAGTACAGGTCAAACTAACGCACAGTCGCAGAAGCTGCTCAGCGGTTGCCTGGGGCTGCAAGGGGGAGGGGGACCACGGGGAGCGGGGCACGGGGAACTTCGAAGATAAAAGAAATGCTCTATGTTTTGACTGTGCTGGTGGTTACGTGGCTGTACAGACAGATGTGTCAGGCACCGAAAGCTGTACACTTAAAATGGGGACATTTTATTATACACAAATTACACCTCAATAAAGTTAATTTTATAAGAAAATAAAATTGAGAGATTTAAAAATGTTCCTCCATCACTGGCTACTCGGGTCTCACAATGTTTCTGTCACTTCCTCAGCCCCCTGTGCTATTCAGCGTAAAGAGGGTGTTGGGCCTTCTGCAAAATTATTCTGTCTGGCAATTCTTAGTGTAGATGCACCTCGTAGTCTCCTTGAGAAGAGCCATCCTGCCTCAACCTCCTTCCAAATTATTGTTTAATTTTTTAAAAAAGATTTGTAAATAATTTCATTGCAGCATACTTCATAAAATCAAAAATGGAAACAACTTAATTTGGACAATAAATTGTAGAATAAATATGTGCACACATCACATACAGGCTTGTATTTGCATTAAATCTCTGGAAAGCTATTTAAGAAACCAGTATCAGCTGCTGCCTCCCAGGAGCGGCACTGTGGACAAAGGGTAGAGACTAATACTCTATACATTTATACCCTTTGAATTTTATACCACATGCACACAGCATCTAGTCTAAAAAGTTATCTGGAATAGACATAAGCTATTATCCACGAAACATGGAGCCAGATATCATAATTAGAAAATGAACTTAGAGATGATGTCCTTATAGCTTTACAGATTTCTAGTTCTCCTGCACCTTGACCGGTGTCAGAAATGGACACTTAGCCCTTAAACTCTCGTATCATAATGCTTGTTACTTAAACTTCATCACCATAAAAACGATGGTTTGACTTTATTAGTCATCATATAGCACTGTTTACATCATTGCAATGCTTTCCAAACAAATCTACCCTCTTCTATCTTTCTGCAGTTCGGCTGTAAACTATTCTGACTAAAGTATGTCAAGTGACTCATACATTTCCAAACACTATACCCCAAAACATATTTCCACTCCAAAAGTAATATATCACAGAAGGGGGAAAAAGTAAAGAGTAGGCCTTCAAAATAATGTTACCATAGAATTGTCAACTATCCAGCCGAGATCCAGATAAGGCCAAAACATGCAAAATAAATCAGTTCACAATCATAATAAAAATAATTCAAAATAACCTAAACATATTGTTCAAATAATCAGAAACTCATAAAGGGCTGTGTTAAGAATTGTGTGTTGTGTTTTGCAAGTAACACTGTAAGTGCCTATATTTCAAAAACACATGTTGAAATCAGAACTAATAGGTATGTAATTTTAAAGTCTTTTATCTTATATTGAAAAATGACACAAATTAAAACAAACGTGAATAAAACATACACTGAGATTTTAAAAAATGAGAAACTTCTTGCAAGCAACAGTGTCTATGGTTAAATGTCAAACACACCCATTAAGCCATTAGGTTGCATTTACCACCAATCTAATCTCCGTCCTCCATTCCCTTCTTGCTTTAGGACGACAGATGAAGGGCGGAATCCATTTCAAATGTGCCTATAACGTCAATAATACTTAACTGCACCTTGCGTTTGCATGTACTGCGGTTTGAGTATAGTAACTCTCCTTGACAAATTCTTTTGCCCAGACAAAAAACAAGCGGCAGGGATCTTCCATAGAGATTTTACCTTTTTAATCATTAGACTGCAAAAAAAAATCATTCTTTTACCTTAATAGGTAAATGATAATGAGTTTTCCTGAATTGTCCAGTCAAAAAGCTAAAGCCTCCCATTTTGCGTTAGGTCAATTAGCTATAAACCCTGAATACTGAGTATGAATTTTTATCATCCACATGTTCCCATCCTTCTTTATATTCAAAACACCTCATTCATGCTTACAATGAAAATAAAGCAACTGCTCCACACACTGCGAGGTTATTCTAAACTCTGTTCATACTACCTTAAACTACTCACTTAGAAATGGAATTATCATTACAAATTGATACAAATGCAATTGTTTCATTCTGTTTCTTTCCTTCCTGGTACAGTGGCACATAATGGGTTTTGGGGTTTGGTTTTGTTTTGTTTTTTGGCATTCTGAAAAACCTCAATGTCTTACTTAGAAGGAGCTTTGAAAACTGGCTCATGGCCTATTTGCAATTGATACTGTAGCTTAACTACCTTTCCAGCAAAGTTACACTAACTTCAAAATATTCTGGGATCAACCATTAAAATGTTTTTGTTTCGGTTACAACACTAATGAGCACCAAATGTTAGAATTTGTTTTAACGACCTAATACATCAAGGATTTTCTTAAAAGGAAAGGCTGGATCAGCTATCCATTACATAACGAAAGGTAGATTAGGCAGTACCGATATAGATGATACTTGAAAGATTTAATATACTTAAGTGTAGAATCAAGCATTAAAAAAGTTAAATTCAGAAAGCCTGCTCAATTAGCCCTCATACTTTTCCCTATAAAAATACCACACTCCTGATTCCTAGGCTGTACTTGAAAGCTCCTTCCCTTCTTTCCTTGCATAAGACACTTAACCCGCACCTTGCTTTCGCCACTCCAATAAAACGGGCGCTACCACTATGCTTTTCGATATTTTCTTCTGTCACAAAGGAATATAAAGTATCAAAGGAAGTAAAAAGTAGAGGAAATCTCCACAGAGAACCACTGATATGACAAGATTTTAGAAAACAGATGTGCACGTGCTATTTTAAATAAACAAAAACGAAGAGAAGAATGGGCTATTCACGTTATATTCTGAGAGGAGCGGTTAGCATGGGAAACAGCAGCGCTTTGAGGACAACAGCAAGTCCGTAGGTGTCTTTCCTGGACCCAGCGACACCTCCCGAGGGTGTAACTCACCAGCACCCACGGTGGCGGCCATGGCGGTCACACCGGGGAAAGGCTTCGCTGTCGCGGCCGCCACTGACCTGTGTGTGGAGCAGCACCTGCTGTGGGACCTCCCCCATGTCTACCCATCGCGGATGCTACAGCCACCGCGAAAAATCTCGCCTTTCTCTTCCAGCACCGTTTCCTCTTCCTCTTCCTTATTTTTTGATTGCTACTGGGGTTTAACACTTCTTGGCCTTCAATCTGGA